AAAAAAAAAAAAAAAAAAAAAAGGTGTTAATATAGCAGTACCTGCCACAATCTAACGGGGAGGAATACAATAGTGTATTCCAAAGGCCTGATAAGAGGGGTGCATTAAAATGCCATATATGTGTTTCTTTGTTTTAAACTTATGGTTAAACGTGATTCCTGAGTGTCTCCTATGTGGTGGGCTAGGGAGCACGGTGTGAAGACGAGACTCAAGGGCGGGAGGATTTCAGCGAGGACACTCATTACAGCCGCTGAGATAATTTAGTTGGCTGACTGTAGCTCAGTGGTACCGTGCTCACCTCACACGCATGAGGCTCTGGCTTCCATCAGAGTGCTACAGAAGAGAGAAGAGGAATAATCTAGTCAAAAGAAGACAGGGTCCAGGCTAGTAGCAGTGGAGAGTAAAGGTGTGGTGGGTTTCAGGCGCACTGAAAGAGTTGCCAAAATTTTGCTGATTTCTAATTTTTTTTTTTCTGTAAGAAACTTTAAGACACAATTTGGTGCTGTGGGGATGACTTGAACAGTGACTGATGTGAAAGGGGGAACTCGGGTTATTTTGGGACTTGGTAAGTGTGAGCTGCCCATTGGACACCCAGAGAGGAGGAAGTCGAGCACAGAAATCTGGAGTTAGGGGAGAGGTCCTGCCTGGCTGGGATGGAATCTGGGGAGTCCTCGGAGTGGGTAAGACATCTGAACTTAATGAGATCACTTAGGGATGTGCGTTGGTACGTGGCAAGGCCGAGGACATATCCAAGTAGTCCAATGTCAAGAGACAGGGAAGTTAAAAGGAGCATAACAGGTTTTAAGAAGGCGGAGCTCAAGAGAAACATCTGTTGGAAGACCAGGGACAGCTTTAAGGAAGAGGAATGGGCCACTCCTGGAGAAGACCAAGAGACAGCCTGTAAGGCTGCTACTGCTGCCCGTGGCCGCTGGTGTCAGTGCCTCAGCGATAACTAGAATTTGCTAAGAGCTGTTTCAGTGGCGAGGTGAAGCCTGTTTGGGGTGGGCTATAGAAGGAATGAGACCTAGAAAGACTTCTAGAGAAAACAGGGCTCCAGAGAAACACCAAAGCATGTTCTGTGCTGGGGAACTGATTTCCTTGGGGAGGGGGACAAGATTTGAGGAAAGGGGGCATTTTCTGGAGTTCTAGGTGGTGGAACTCAGATATGGGAGCTAGACAGAAAATGCCAGCAACATGTGACCAGGCCCTGCTGAGCCTTCTGTCTTTCTGTGAAACAGAAAGCAAGGCCACTGCTCAGAGTACAAGAGGGAGGGATGATGGAGGTTCGAGGAGAGAGAAAAAAGCCAAGAGGACCAGCAGCAGGGTTATTTGGTAAGTTTTGCTAACTACATTTGCTAGAAAGGTGCAAGCCCAAAATGGTGGGAGATGGGATTGTGCCAGGGGTATTCTTGCTAGACAAGGCCACCCAGGGAGAGGGGGACAGAAGGTGAGTGTGTGGACCATAGGAGGCACTGTTAAAAATGAAAGAAGGTTGAACTCAACCCAGAGATGGAGGGAGTGAGGAGGGCTGGAACAGGGGGAGGAGAGAGAACATGTAGAAGGGGTGGGTCCGCGGGTTGCCCTGGAATCCCAGAATCGTTGGGATCAGCACCACAGAGGAGGGAGTGCAAGACAAGGTGCTAGTTGGAGAGCCAGGTGATTTGCCTCAGAGCACATGGAGAGAGCAATGTCCAGGAATGACAAGACTTCAGCCACCTCTCTGACTGTAATGCACATGGAATGCATTTGAAATGCTGACCTGGGTGCCAGTGGCCTGGCTGGGTTCTGCCATTTCTAGCAATCTGGGAAGCATGCTGGTTATCCTCAGGATTGACATGATACCAAAGCTTTCATAAATGCAATGAAAAGAAAAAAAGAAAACTCAGGGCTGGTCAAATAGCTCAGCAGATTAAAGCACCTGCCAGCAGGTGCAGTGGCCGGGGGTTCAATCCCCAGGCCTGCGGTGCTGGCCCCATCCCCGGAGTGCACTGAGATGGCAAGTGAGACTGGGCGTGGTGGCACCCACCTGTAATCCCAGCTCTTGGGAGGCTGTAAACAGGAGGATCACTAAGAGTCCAATCTAGTAGTAAGACCCTCAACACTCTGTAGACCCTTCCCTAAAATACAGAGAAAGGAAAGAGAGAAAGAAAGAAAACTCATTTTGCTTTAAAACTTTAAACACAAGCAAAATACCAGCATGTTCAAAGTAAAGTTCATCCAACCAAGCACATCTTCTCAACAGCATATTGGAAGCTGTTGTAAAAACCAGCCAGTCCCTCAGAGGAGGGGACTTTGCGGTCTTGGCAGGGAGTAGTCTGAGCTCAGGAAGAAACCTGCTAATAGCAGTTGTCCCTCTGCTCCTCTTGGCCAGTTGCATAAAGGTGGGAAAGAGGTGCCTGGTTCCTTGGTTTTTGCAAGGGAGACCAGCAAGACAAGCAAGTGTCATCTAATTTTGAAATACTGTTCATTGAGGACTTCCCCCACAAGGGTTTGGTTGATTTGCTTGGCTGTTAGGTTATAGGTTAGATGAGAGCTCTTTTTAATAGCAGTCTCCCAAAAGAGGCCTTGACTATATTTCTATTCAACAAAAACAAGTCAAGGCCCAACTTCCCAAGGACTCGAAGGATTGGTAGGAATGGACAGCCCCATGTGCGGGGCTTTGACTCCTGCACTAAGGGTCAGGAAGCATTTTAGATCATCCTCTTCCCGGGATAAGCCCACCACTGCTGACAGTCATGGCTACAAGAAGAGAAGCACCTTTTGGAGGGAGGAGTGGTACCAAATTCTAAAAGCAAACTGGAAGGAGTCATTGTACTTGACCACTTGACCTTACCATGGAGGTCTCTTTTTAGCCCCTACTGTTGAGTTCTTTGGAAAACCATTTCTATAAAAATATTCCAACCTGATAGAAACTCCCTCCACCCCTTCATCTTAAACCCTCTCAAAGAGTCCCTCTGTTCTCCTGGGCTGTCTCCAAGGGACTCAGGGTGCACCCCCTCAAGTAGGTATGGTCCCACATAAAGCTTCCATCTTTTCTTTCCCCCTTTCTCTTCTCTTTGTGGCTGGGCCCTAAGATGGAGGTGCCTCCTTGCCTTACTTGGGTCCTTAGGGAAAGGACCTTGGAGCCTGACTCATGGCTCCCCTCCTACCCCACCCGGTGCCTGAGTTTGCTGGCTGGAGTGACCTAAGTGCCACTTCTCCGATCTACTGGGTCACAGCTTTGTGTTCTCTGTCCCAGTAACCTTCACGTCTACCCCAGCACAACAGCCACCGAGCTGGCCCTGCCCTGGACACTGCAGTCACCAGAACTGCTCCTCCCCTGCAGCTGAACTCTGTAGCTCCCCAGCGTACCTCCTCTTCCTCCCACCCCCAGCCGTGCCCTCCCACTCACCAAACCTGCTCC